AGGACTCCATCAGTCCTTCCTTGGTGAGAGCCTGGCAGCCAGGGCGGATGGGAGGGTCAGCATATTTGGCATCCTATAACTTACCCTGCGGGTTTAGCTCTGGGGATTGTCTTGTGTCGGGTTTTTCAGGGATTCGTGTTTCTATGTACTGGGAAAAAACTTTGTGTTGGCAAGGTTGCGGGCTGGTACTTGTTCTGGTGTGTAGTGATGATGCTCACAATGACTATGCCATGTGCTGCCTTGAGTCTTGCTACTGCTGCTCCCATTACTATTAGGGCGGTGTATGCTTTGTGTCTGGTGTGTTGTGGATTGTGCAATACCACGGCTACCGGCTGCTGCTGTTTTGTGCTGCTGCAGATCGTGCTACTGCTGCTGTGATTGCTATTACGATGGTGCGTGTTGAGTGCGTGCTTGATGTTGTGCAAGTTTGGATTTGTCTGCAACGGGGCAAGATGGGATATGGCCGGTGCATACAAAGTACTCTCCCAGGTCGCAGATGTTGGTTTGTTCCGGTACCGCAAATGCTTGTGGTTGCGACCCTGTGACCGGATGCATGTCAGAAGTTGAGAGCGACGTGTATGCACCCCTGCATGTGACAGCAAACATTGGAGTGGCATTGTCGCAGTCCAGGACATTTAGCAAGCATGCCGAACCCTTTGGCTCGTGAGAACCAGATGTATTCGTTGTCAACAGGAGCACCATTAAACTCCCCCCAACCCCCCCCCCCCCCAAAGAGCAAGCTTTCCCCTGTATTCTGAAATTCCATCCACGAAAGAAGCACTTCGCAGCCTCCACAGTCCTTTGAAATACATAGAGGAAGCGCTTTCCTTTCAAATCCGGGTTCGCAGCGACGTCCTGCTGAATGCAAAGAACGCCAAAAACAAGACGTCATCTGCGAAGAGCAAACACGCTCTTGCAACACCAAACCCCCAGTACGGAAGAAGCCGAAACCCGAAACCTACACTCCGAAACCCGAAGCCCACACTCCCAACTTGAGAATGTCTCCTCATCCTTAACCAAAGGATTCGAGAGGTGGTTTTCCTCAGCTACTCCAATGGAGAGTGGATGATCCCAAAAGACTCATCAGGACATCGGTCTCTTCGTGAACCACGGTAGCGAAACTCAGCAATGCCTCCCAGACACCGTGCTGTAGCAAAGCCGCACGCAGTTAAAGCCCAATTCACGAATTCGTCCTGCCACCTTCGCAAGATCCTGACACACAGGCTGACTGGTGTATGGATCAGGGTATAGGGCTTGGGGGTTTAAGGTTTAGGGGTTTTTCACGGGCAAAGCAGACAGATGTGCAAGATCAATTCGCACGCATAGGGAAAAACACCACTTGCTGGGTGTGCCCTAAAAGTCGGGAACCAAATCAGAAATAGAAAACTAGGACTCGTCAGGTAGTGGGGGCGCCATTGTGGCCCACCACGGTGACGGTCCCTCGACTTTCACGGCGGGTTGCCATGCATACGCGTTGGCTGTAGGTGCCGGCAGATCAGCATCAATATCAGATGCATAGTAAGCCGCCCGGCACACACCAGACTTACGCAAATGTTCGGTCAGTCGCCGTAAAGTCCAAAACTCTACCTGACATTTTTGGCACGATGTGCCGAATGCACATCGGACCTGTGTGGGTCTTTGCCCATGATGTTTCGACAGGTGCACCGCTAGCTGGCGCCGCCCATTGAAAGCCTGTTGGCATAGGTGGCATGGCCAAGACAAGGCGGGTCCGGACGAAAGAGTCACAGCGGGCGTGTCAGGGTCCTCGCGAGGGACGAGGTTGGCACGATCAAAGCTCCTCGATGCGCAGCATTTGCGCAGGTAGCGCCTGCATGTGAGCGAGACCGCCTTGGCCGTCGTAGGCATCGCCCGTATGACATCATCAACGGTAGCTGCCTGCTGAGGGATCATACCGATAAGAACCGACGCCGCAACGGCTGGAAGCCACCAGTCCCGATCGGCAAAAAGGCAGTGTAGTACCGGATCGAGCCGTGCTCTGCACAGGTCAGCAAGTGTCCGTGCTCGTGCCACGGCAAGCAGCTCCTGCGGCAGGGCCAATCCAAGCACAGCCGCAATCTCTTCATTGGAGTATCCTGTGCTCGGGATGGACAAGATGGGTCGGAAGATCCCACGTTGAAGTCGGAATATGACCTCCTCAAACTTGTCCTGCTCCTTCTTTGTGCGGAGGACAAGCATTCCCGCTCCGTGAAGGAAGGACGACAGGATGCGGGAGCGGAAAAGATCCAATTTTTCGCGCTCGGTCAGATAAGGATTGGAGAGGAGCTTTCGGCGAACGGGGCCATACATGCTCTGAGCCTGTAGCTCGCGATGTCTCAGGGCAGGTAAGTCGTTGCCGTCCGCCCGTAGAACACATCCAAGGTGAGTATATGACGGAACCAGTCTGACCTGGGCATGCCCCTGGGGGCCGTGAAAGCTGACAGCTGGCTGCGAGTGGGCCAGAAGGTGACGTCGCACTGCCTGCGACCCCGTGCCATGAGCAATGATGAGACACTCAGATTTACCTGCCCCTAAATTGGCCGAAAGGCCTTGTTGGTGCATCGCCGTTGTGATCGCCGTCATGATAATGCGGATCACTTCTTCCAGCTCATAGGCTCTGACAACTTGGAAGAGAATGCAAGCGTCGTCGGCCCAAGTGGGTTCTGTTGGAGATGCCTCCTTTGCCGAGCAGAAGCCGGGGAATGCACAGCAGCCGCGATCAGAGAGACTGTTGTTGATGTCTACAAGGATGCGGTGAAAGACGATCCCGAAAAGAAGGTCAGCTACAGGCGAGCCTGGCATAGTTCCGGATTCTGCTTGCATTACCTCGTGTGACTCCGGTCTGGTGGTAAACCAAGTTCCGGCAAGTTGATTCCGGAGGATGGTCGCCAATTCAGGGCATTCCTGAAGCGTCGCAGGAGCAGGGTGGGTGCGCAGGGCATCAATGAAAGCTTGGCGGTCAGCCGTCTGCGTGAAGAAAACCCCAGCCCTTTGGGTCACCCATGCGTCATCTGCGAGCTGGGCCGGAGTGGCAGTCAAGACTTCCCGGGCTACGCTGTAGTATGCCGACTTGCAATCAACAAAAATGGCCCCTCCGCACGACCCAGTCGCATTGAGATGCAGAAGGTGTGCTTTGGCACAAGCTGCTGGCAGGGAGAGAGGCGCACCAGCTACACCGCCGTAATGTACGCGGGTGCGCATTGTCAGGAAGGCATCATGGAGGAGTGGGCGGTAAGCGACTTGTGCTGCCTTGGCAGATGGCTCCAACAGCAAAACCGACCTATAACCTTCCAGCTCATTCGAGTCCTTCCCCGGCTTGGGTACTGTCACAGCTGCGCCACCTCGCCATTGGAACGGGAAGGGTCCACGGACAATGGATTTAAGGAGAACTGGCCAAAAGGCCTGGGCTGCCAGCATTGGTGCGGCACGGAACACCTCCGACGGGAGCCCCGAGATTCCAGCTGCTTTGTTGGGCTTGAGCCGGCTAAAGGCACTGGCAAGTTGAACCATACTGGGTAGGCGGTCGCCCTCCAGTTGGCACGGTTCAACAGCGAGCTTCGGAATTGCAATGGCATCGCGCAGGTCAGTTGATGTGGCACGCTCAGGTCCGGCAAAGTGACCAGAAAAGGCGTCGAGCACCGCAGTGCGCCCGACTGCTTCTTGCGGCTTGGTATTGATTGTGGGGACAAGTGGTGGCGCTCGGAATTTTCGGCCGCATCGGAGTACAGCACGAAGTTTGTACTGGAACTCGCGAGGGCCGGCTGCTCTGGCCTGTTGGTATCCGCGCCTGACAAAGTCAGCTTTGTCATGCAACATAGACTGTGTGAGCTCCTCACGAAGATGCCGGAAAATCTCAACCCACTTGTCCTCGCACTTGCTTGCGCGCTCAAGCTCCATCTTGGCAACCTGGAACCTGGGGCCTCGTCCTCTCCAACCCTGGAAGAGGACGTTCAAAAGAGCTAGCCTAGCACGTTGTCTGGTGACTCTGAGGCATCGCTGTGCGTGTCGCTTGCTGACGACCAAATCAATGGTTTGCTGAGTGAGGGCGGGGTTGCGGGCTCGCCGGGGAGCAGCGGGCAGTGCACGCAAGCACCCATGCAGGTGTCGATGAATGACGTCAACATGCGTGGTGGGGTCCGTCGCCCAGGATGTCCTGGGGACGGAAGCAAGGGCATGTGCTGCGCATGCAATGCCCTCCTTGGACGCTAGCTGTGCAATGTCAATCCTGTCCACCTTGGCGGAGCGACGACCTTCGCAGGTGACATCAAAGTCCATTGCAACGGGCCAGTGATCAAAACCACAATGGAGATCATCCAGCCGGGGAGTAGGTAGCGTCTTAGTGGCTGCGGTCCATTCTACCGGGTGAATGACATAATCCAGCAGTGCTGGATGCCCCTTTGGGCTAACCCATGATGTGAGCGGGTTGCCCTGGCAGTCGAACTGTGCTGAGATGTCGCCCCGAACAGTGCACGCAAAGTGAAGAAGGTGGCGGGCATTCGGGCACAAAGGGCTAGCATCCAACGTCTTCGGGACCCCTGGGTCTTGGGTGAACCGAGCGTTGGCATCGAGTCCGGTGATGAGACAGTAGCGGCTGGGGATGCGCTGGACCGCCGCCGAGAAGTCATTCCACCATTGTTCAAGGCACTCTGTGGGGCTGGTAGAAGGAGGGGCATGCGCTGTGGCAATTGCAACATCAATGCCGTTGACGCGGCCGAGGACAATCATGCACTGCGTGCTTGCATGAAGGATGGACAGCTCCTTCCGGTCCCAATCGAGGTTTGTGGAGGCCGGGTTGATCCAAATTTGGGTCCCACCTACGCCTTCCTTGGTACTGCTCGAGCTCAAGATCCACCAACCCTCATAGGTGCTGAACCCCGATTGCTGAAGACGTGTTTCTTGAAAGCAGGCCACATCTGCCCCGAATCGTCTAACACCCTTTGCGAGTAGTGCCTTAGCCGTCTGGCCTTTCAAAGAGAGAGTGTTGTACTGCAAGAAGCGGAGCTTTAGCCTTCGCGGTAGGCCGGCCGTCTCTTCTGTCCCCAAGCCGACGGGAAGACATGCTGTCCCAGCTGCAGCTTCGGCCGTTCGGCCATCGCCTCAGTTCCCCAAGTGCCGGTTGGTGTGAGAGCCGGGAGGCCCAGATGGGTTACTGTAGCAGGGCAGGTCATCCAGAAACGCTCAACTAACTGTTCAATGACGGCGGCGTAAAAGTCCTCGAACTGCACATGCCACGGCGATGGTCCCGTATGACGCCCAACCTGTTTGGCGAGCACATCTGCCATGTCATTGAAAGCATTGCCGCTATGAGCGGGTACCTTTTGAAACGACAGATCGACTCCCCGCGCTCGGGCCAAGAGCAGGAGACCGGCTAGTGCACGGCAGGCTGGACATTGTAGGTTAATACCTCCTTGGCCTTCGGCAACCAAAAGGGCAGATGAGCAGTCGCTAAGGATGGAGACCTTAAGGCCAGGCTGAGCACAGGCGAGGGCAACAGCATGGAGCAATGCTTCCACTTCTCCATCAAAAGCAGAGGGCTGTTCGGAAGTGGCAACTTCGGTCCAGTCAGCAAAGAAACCGACTCGAGCAAAGGTGCACCCGATTCTCGCAATGACAATGATGGACCAAGTCGCGTGCGACCTTGCTGTGAAGAACGACCCATCTGTGAAGACAAGGAGTTCGTCACAAGCACTCGTTCCATTCCAGGCTGGCAGAGCCCTCCAGGCCGTCGTGAATGGGCGGTATTCCCTGCAGAGGGGCGTAAGGTCCTGATGCAAGTGCTTTACATCATGTGAAGCGAGGCTAAGGTCAACAATCTCAGGGCAAATAGCCCAAGCAACACAGGACGGTGCATCATGTGCCTGAGTGCGCGGGCCTTTGTCTGGGAGGAGGTCATCAAGTTTCAGAGATTCACGTCGACCCGGGGGCGCAGGGCCAGGGACATCGATCTGGCGGCGGCCGAACGGCGTGGGAACCGAAATGCATCGTCCCTCTCCAGGGCCCTGAGGATTCAGGGAGTTGCCGCCTGGCTTGGGACCGATGAGTGCCGAGGTGATCTGCAGGCCAGGAGACTCAGCTGGTGGAGAAACAGGCTCCGGGCACGAGACACGGCCATCCGAGCATGCGCACCCCTCGGCGAGACGGTTCGTGCTCAAACCTTTGCAGCGCTGGTCAGGCTGTCTCGGCCGGTTGAGCTGGGCAAGAGTGGTTCCATCTCGCATCACCGGGTTAGGATTAGCAGGGGCGCCAGTTCCTGCAGGCAAGGGAAGTCCTCTCGCAATGAAAAATGCATAGCGCCTTGCATAGGGGGGAAGAACAAGCAGCTCAATAACCTGGCCGTGGATCCATGGTCTGCGCGGAAATTTGTAGATCCCCCCCTCTGGCAGGTGCAGGTGCAGCTCCAGCTCCCGCGGTTGCAACATCATGGGAATGTACTGTCCTCGTTGATCAAGACGAGGCAGGAGCACGCTGATGTACCCCGAGGCCTGTGCAAAGGTGATGAAGACAGTTCGCATCCCGTACAGGGCCGTGGCCGGTGCGCATTGGAGGGCGTAGGCAGGGCAGTCTGGGAATTGGAGCAATCCTGTACGCATTTCTTCCAGAGATGCAAACTGCGGAACCGGAACCCGAAATCGGACAGGGTGGTGCGAAGGGCCAATCACTTCACATGCTCCCTCAGAGTGGATATGGGGGCACTGCAGTCTGCGCCGCTCTCGTACCGTTGCAGGCACGTCCAGATGATTGTAGCTAGGCCCAAGGAGTTGCGGCCAAGAGAAAGCGGCCAAGACCGGGTAGCGATCCATCAGTTTGCTGAGGGACTGCGATCCAGGCACCATGTTTGGAGAGGCGAACTGAATGTAGTCGCCGTTACCCACACACCTGTGCAGATGTGCTGCAGGGGCCCCATTAACTAAAGCACTGATTCCCTGCCCCAACCAGTGTGACGAAACAAGATCCGAGCAATGGCTGCTACCTGGCATCGTGCAAGCAATCAGTTGCTGGTCATGGGATCTTTCGTCAACCACAACCGTAGCCAGGCCGGTGGTGGGATCATGGCACAAAGCAATAATGATCTCCTGTATGCCATGATCACAGGCTGGTTGTGCGCCTGCTACAACAGCATAAACTGGTCCGCCTGGCCACGGCTGTTGGGCAAGCAAGTCGTGCGTCATCGTCTGCAAGATGGATTCAAATTGGTAGCACGGGGTCGGGATTCGCCTGTTAATCGATGTCCGGCCGTGAACCAGGGTCAGAGCGTACAGCGTCCCAATTGGGCGGGTCGTCCCAGCTGGGGTCGTAGTAGTGGACGTGCTGAACCCAATGAAAAAAAAAACTGCCTGCTGCTGGCACTGCTGAAGGTGGATTCCTGCCAGAGCACCGCTCCAGGTGGTGGGAAGAGGTTGGGCTCCACGCGGAAGTGCTGAACCTCATCAAGGTCACGTGGAAGGGAAGCACCGACTATCCCTACGGCATCAGTGGTGATGAGCTGTCCCTGAGTGATCCCCTCGCATAACTGCACAGATTCAGGCATGACATCCCGCAGGCTTTGAATGGCACTATGGAAGTTCTCCCCTTGTTTGTGCAGCACCGTCTTGATGGGTCCTCCCGATGGACGCAGGTCCCATGGAAGTGGTGCAAAATCAAGACGCGCCCCAGCTCGAAAGAGTAGGAGCTGGGGCCGAGGTAAGTTTTCAACACAGTGGACAAGGATTTGCACCGCTCTGACGGCAAAGGGCGCAGAGCTGACGGCAAAGGCAACAACATCCCGCAATGTAGCCTTGCTGTCCCTCGGCAGCAGTGTCACATGTCTGGTCGTGTCGAAGACGGAAAAGAAGGCTCGGGACTCAGCTTCCTCCCCTCCCCATGAAAAAGAGCTGACCTCACGGGCATGCAGCTGTATATCATCAAGGTATTCTGGGAGTAGGGTCGGGTCCTCAGGCCCATAACCCAGATGTTTGGAGGGCATGTCAGGAGGGCCTCGCAGCAAGAGAGAGGGTGGCTCTCCAGCAACAGGCATCGGCCACCGAACATGACGCGAATCGCCGCTCAGAGGACTAGGACAAGCAGGTCCCTGTCTCCCTCTGTGTGCGCGTGAGAGCTGATTGTGGTCTCGAGTGCTGAGTCGGCTAGAGGCCTGAACCAAGGAGTGTTCGTCGAGATCGCCATTGCGGACTGCCTCAGCATGTCCCTCCGCAGGCTGGGCATGACCTTGGTAGTGGAGCTGCTCAACGATGACAGGCTCATCAGCGTGAGTGGCAGGGACAGCCCTGATCCATTCCAGCACGGCTGTATTCAGAGTGACGTACCTGACCGGGTGTCCCTCCTGATCCTGTAGTACTGCCCTGCCCTCTTCGACCTGGGACCGAAAGTGTCCCGCAGTTATGCCCTTCATGTCAAGCAGACCCCATAGAACAGTAGTGTCGCAGGGTCGGAGAATGGCAACAGTAAAAATGTCTCCGCCGATTGCACGAAAGTCCAGCGGTAGCACCCGTCCAGGTCTAGCAACAGAAGCCGCTGTGAGGACCACATTTGGCATGCGGGTGTCTGGAAGGGCAACGGTAAGGAACTGGATCGTCCGAACCGGATACGAGACTTGGCTGCAGGCGTCCGCCGCATACTGCAGAGGAGACCAATATCGCCGAGAAGGTCTCGTGAGCCTGTCTCGCGTGGTCTCAAAGACCTCATAGCGCAGCCTTTCGATGCCTTCCTCTGGCGACGATGGGATTGCCAGGACGTCTTTCAAGGGGGTGTCAAGCAAAGGCCCCTGTAGCATTGACGGAAGGAAATCTCGTTGCCTGGTAAGCATGAGGTTCAAGGCAGAAGGCTGAGGCGGCAGTCCAGACGGCCTTGCATCAGGCAAAAAGGGGACAGAAGCCACATGTCCCTCACAGAAGGGATTGAAGTTGGGGTAGGTCATTTGGCCAAGGCTCGACAGGGAACCGACCTTGTAGCCAAGCGAATTTGCAGCGGTGCTCGCGACAGGCGGCACACGCGTTGGGCTCCCAAACTGGAAAGCGGATGGTGGCCGCTTAACAGGTGAGCAGGCTGGAGGGCCAATCTGCGGGTGCACATGCAGATAAGGGTGAGGAAGGTCAATGACCGTGAGGTCCCATGCTGGGCAAGGTCCGACCAAGGTTCGACAGGAACCGGCCTTGGAGTCGGCGAGGTGTGGGCAGGCACCAGTTGGCTCAGGATCATGGAAGGATCCGAGCTGGATGGGACACCTGTCAAGGTCCGAACAGCAGCTTGCAAAGCCCCTAGCAAGCCGATTGAAGGGACGAGAGGTGGAGTCCTCTTCAAAGCAGACTCTCATTGGAACAAGATGCGGGGTCTTGTGGAGAGCGGAAGGCGTCACTGTACATTCCTCAGACTCTAGAGTTTGCAAGGGTTAGGAGGTGCCAGTCTCACAGTAGCTGGGTACTAGGGAGCCCTCCTCATCGGTCTCAACTGCGCCGTCAGAACCCATGCTGGCAGCAGGAGACTTTCCAGATTCCTCAACCTTTCCCTGGCCGCCGGAGACTGACAAAGCCTGCCCCATGCAGAAAACAGAGTCATCTACCGACAGCACAGATCCTGTACAGAGCTGTTCAAGCCCAGTTGCAATCCTGGGGTCCTCATCACTCACCAGCAAGAAACCGGCCTTCTGAAAGAGAACCTCATGCGCCACGACCAGTCCCAAAAGCTGAGCCCTGAGACCATCCACGTAGTCGTAGTCGCTTTCAACAGAATGTCTCCATTGAACAGCCAACGAGGGCGCCTGTAGCCCACATGGTCCCCGTAGGCTCACATGTGGGCATCGCCATGGCCGTCCTGCCCTCCCTGCGGTCTTTTGAAGCCGATCGCCGTGGTGTTCTCGAGCCCTCTCGAGTAGGAGCGGTAAGCGTAGCCTGAGCAGTCTTGAGCGCATGCAAAACCTCCCTTGCTTGCGACTCCGACTGCTCCCTGGCAAGCTGTCTCTTCAATGCCAGCTTGGCTTCCTCCTCGGCGGCGTCTGCCACCATCTGCTCCTGTGCCTCCATCTCCGCGTCCACGTCGATCGGCTCGGAACGTTCCGTACTCTCGGGCTGGGTCGCATGTCGGCCCAACTCCGCTGTCGACTCCTCCAGCTGTTTTTGCCAGGCATCCTCGGATTGATCGTATGCTGCTAGTGTCGTCGACCGATCCTCCAGCTGCTTCTCCAAGAGCTGGACCATGTGGGAGAGGTAGCTGGACCATGCCCCTTCGTAGGCACTCCGGTCGGCGCGGACCTTGGAAAGTCCCTTCCGTGCCTCCTGTTGCTTCGAGACCAGCTTGTGGAGGGTACGTCCAGTAGCCTTGTGCGACTCGTCCTGGAACTGCCCCATGAGGTGCGCTAGCTCTGACGGCACACCATCCTGGCTCTGCACATGCGCCACCAGCGCCCTCAGCAGTAGCTGCTCTGAAGTGGGTGCGCTCGGCGCCCCTGAGGGGGCCGACGTAGCTGGCATCGAAGGAGGTAGGGTCGCTGGAGCCGAAGGTAACGCAGAGGTCTGGGGCACCGTGGCCGCAGCTTGCGCCACGGAGCCTTCCTGGCCCTTTCCAGGCATCTTCCCTCCATGCTTCCCTTTGCCCTTGGGATTCTGTAGTCCCTTGCCACCAGGGTTGTTCTTGCGGACGGCCGCCTGGTTCGCGGCGAGGATGGCTGCCAGCCTGACCAATCCCAGCTGGGGTCCTCTGAGTGGTGGCCTCTCCATGGAGTGGCCAGTTCCGGATCTCCCGTGTAGCGGGGTTTGGCCGTGCCACATTTCTGACAGAAATGTGCCGACGACTTGGCCCATTGCCAGCACTTCTGACATTGCCATGTAGTCATTGCGCTCCTCAAGAGTGCTTCGGCCTGTTGTACGACTGCAGGCCTGCTGTGATGTCCACGAAGCGTTCGGATCGATGCGCTGACTCGTTCCCTTGTTACAGAAAAACCAGCCACAAAGGTCCTCAGACAGCTTCTGGCCTTTGTTCTGCGTTTTCGAAGGTTGCGATGCCACGCGGCCTCTGTCGCCGCCAAGCGCTTCACAAATCGCGGCGTGGTAGCCGCACCAGGTGAAAAGGACAACCCAAATCACAGGTGTGGCTCCGCGCATCCACTTACCAAAAACACCTCAGCCAGGGCGAACCAGATCAGCCAGGATGTCAGATAGAGGATGGAATGAAAAAGCAGGGCTCTCAATATTCAGCCCAATCCAGCCACCAAGGGTGGGGATAATCTGCAGCAGCCTCCACACGGTACAGCTGAGCAGAGAGGTTGTCGCGGGCACGTGTCTTTCAACGGCCACGCTCGGGTTCACGGAGTCGAGGGAAGTGTGGACCACAAAGGGAAACTACACACAACCGCTCGGGCCGTAACGCCTAGGTTTAGGGGTTTAGGGTTTAGGGTTTAGGGGTTTAGGGTCTAGGGTCTAGGTGTGAAGTGTTTGGGATTAAGGTCACGGTGCTCTGACCGCATCCGCATCAATGGAAAACACTATGACTATGAGCGCAACATGGCTGGCCAACTGTGTTCTGATTCAGGAGCTTGATTGAAGATACCAGAATAAGGGTCTACTACAAACAATATGCCCTATTATTCTGGTAAACGGAATTAATCAGCCTCTTGACCAGAACCCAGGCAAGCACAGTAGCCTGCACTTCAAGACCTCCAACAACGGCTGGCTTGGAGTAGGCACCTGGCACAAGTCGGGAGCACAAGAAAGAGAAAGTGCGGGACTGTGATATTTTACTGTAACCTTCAAAAAACGCCATGTTTCCCATGTGGGAGGATTACAAGGACCCCAAAATAAGGCACCCCTTATAGCGCCCTTCAAAGGAGCCCTCATAGTACCCGTATAGTAACCCTTTACAGGAACTGTCCTTAAAGGATCATGGGACTTAATAACTAGGGTTATAATTAGGGTCATTATACTTTTTGACTACTTATAACCCCAATTAAGGTACTTATAACCTTACCTACTAAGTCCCACGATCCTCCAAGTCAGGTACCCCCAGCAAGACATGAGTGTGATGCGGCCCCTCCCCGGCCTGCCCAGTTGATGCAAGCCCACTTTACCTGAGTCGCAGAACCCAAGCCAGGTGTTTGTGTTTAGGGTTTAGGGGTTTAGGCTTTAGGGTTGAGCGCTGAGGGGTTTAGGGTTTAGGGGTTTAAGGTTTAGGGTTGAAGGTTGAGGGGTCTAGGGTCTAGGGGTTCGGGGGTTTAGGATTTAGGGTTTGGGGTAGACGAGAACCTCTGATCACGCACCTGCTGCTTCACAACACTCACTGTCTGTGTCACGAAAGAGAGCTGGATTCAGAAAGACCTCTAAATTCTTTGGGCCCAAAACCCCCAACCTGTATAGTAACCCTTCATAGCAATCCTTACAACCACCTGAAACTATCCAGTAACCCCTATATGAGCCAAGTTCAGAAACACCACTAAGCCCCAAACCCTAAAACCACTGACCCTAAACCCCTGACCCTAAAATTTTGACTCCAAACCCTAAACCCGAAGCGCCACTGCCACCACGCCGCCCGTTCATTGTTGACGTTTACAATGTACCGGCCTGCTGCGCCCGAAATGAAAATAGGAGGCTTTAGGGCTTTAGGGGTTATGGGGTTTAGGGGTTTAGTGGTTGTGGGATTTAGGGTATAGGGTTTGCTGTAGGCTTACGATCAGAGCCAATGACTGTAAAGATTACCAAGGGATACAACAAGGGTTAGGGTTGCAATACGGGTCACTGCAAAAGCTACTTACAGGGATACTGACAGGGTTCCTACAATAAGAGAACTATTTGTGGACGAAACGGCCTTGGGTTATTCAACCGGTAAGGCCGGGTAAGGGCTACTACAAGGGAAACTGTGAAGGGAGCAGAAGTTGCTGTGCGGGTGATGATCAAGCAATCTGTGTACACATGCACGGTTTGGCACTGGGGGTTTCGGACTTTAGTGCTTCGGCGTTCTGCGGCGTTCGGGCTTGCAGTTTCAGCCAGTAGCAGGGAAGAACCATAAACCTTTCGGATTTGTGCTGTGACACGGACAGCCCCTGCCTTTTGTGTGCAGTGGCAACAAGTACCGATCGACAAGCGCAGCACGCTGCGCAGACACGATGGATAAGAGCAGCAGTACCTTAGGGCTGCTTTTATGACAGGATCTAAGATTTTTGTGTTTGGAGGCTGCTTTATAACAGGATCTCAGATTTTGGGGTTTTGGGGGCTGCTTTATAACAGGATCTAACATCTTGGGGTTTGGGGTTTCGGGCCTTCCGGGATGAAGCTTTGCCCTTCATGTGCCACTTTATCCCTTGATCCTGGGGGAGTCTGCTCTTCCACTTGGTTTCGGGATTTCAGAATAGCATAGGAACCCCAACAATTAGAATAGGGTATTGGGGGGGTATATTATAACCATTAAAAGGAATCCCCGAAGTAGTATGGGTAATTATGAAGGCTCCTGCAGATTAAAACCCTGGGTCTATATCAGCGTTCTTAATATGAATCTGCAGAATCCTAATATATTGGGGTTATAGGGCCAGGGTTTCTTAATCAGGTTCTTGCATTAACCGCGCTCCATTGTCATCGCCCTGGCAATCAAGACATGTGTTCACTGGCTACTATCATCATCAGCAACTCGAAAAATGTTGAGAAGCGGCCGGCCCTTTTCGCATATCACCTGCTCAGGGCTTTGTGTGCAACACTGGAACGCGCAAGCAAACTGCCAGGAATATCTATGTATACCGACTGACTCATCCACCAACTGCTGTCTACCATAACCCCTAAACCCTAAACCGATAAGTTCAGGGACAACAAGGAGTCGCGGCTTGCCTGCGCTGCAATGCGAAGACGAGGTGCAAAGTACAACTTACCATTCGTGCTTAGGCCACTGTCTTGTTGCACATTACATGTGGAGTCGACTGCCATGTGGTGTAGGGTTCCAACAAACAGTGCTGCCCAACATGCATGTACTCTCAAGTTTAACTTTGGTGAGTAAGCTTCGGAACATTTCTGGCGACGCGGTGTTGAAATGGATATCGCCACCAAACCCCCGTTCTGAGCAAAACGGCCAACGAGCATCGCGCCACTGCAGCTACACAAGTCGCGTCCTGCAGCGCCGCTCAGTCTAAATCGGTACAGCAAGCTCCAGCTAACCCTCGACCCTGTTCGTCTTCTTGGGCAATCTCGCTCCGCCGGGCTTTGGGCGTCCTCTCACCGAAGAGCAGTGACGGCTTGGCCGGCTTCACCTGCAAGCGAGAAGCCACGTAGGCGCGCCTTTTCATGACGTCTCTCGTCTTACTGGAGCTAAGCTCGAAAGCAAGGAGGTTCCGAGCAAGAATTGCAGTCTGGGCACAAACTCTCGGAAATCTTCGAAGTCCTTTGCAGGGCGCATAATCCCGCGGATTCTCAGGGAAGTGTGTGAACTCTGGGACACTGAGCTTCGTGCAAGTTCTTGGCCGCTCGGCATGCGTTCGAGCAGGCGGTCGATTCGGGAGGGGCTCTTGCCCATCTCCTGGGTTCTTGTTAAGGGATGTAACTTAAGCTAACATAATTGGGATCCAAAAAGGGCTCCTTTAAGGGATATATAAGGTTTCCTTAGGGGTTCAGGCATTAAATTCAAGTTACCATAATAACGAAACCATGCTACTTACTATACATCCCTACTTGGCAAACTTACTGTAAACCCTAAACCCCTAAACTCTCTAACCCCCTAAACCCCTAAACCCTCTAGCCCCCTAAACCCCTAAACCCCTAAACCCTTAACAAGAACCCAGTTTCCTGGAGAGCCTTCGCAAGCTCCGACTTCCTGGAGCAGGACACATGAAATCAAAGAAGAGCACTTCTATGCAAAATTTTGTAATTCTAGCTGTTTCTTAGGGGTTATAATAACCAAAAATTAAAAACTATTTCTAAGTACCCCTAAGACTTGATGCTCATGAGATCTGCTGGAGTACAAGACGATCACGAAAGCACAGCAAGAACTCACACTCTTGCCCCTGCAGGCCAGCCGTCACTGCAGGACTGAGGGGTTCAAGCGGCTCCTGCGCCAGCTTCGGCAGTCTAATTTAGGGGCCTTAATAATCAGAATAGGGTTTGGAGGGTATACTGGACTATAACTTTAAAAAGGAACCCCAGAATCCTAATCTAGTTATCAAGGCTATGAAGGCCCCGCGCCTATATTACTGTTCCGGTGGGCGGAATGCTCTCATAGTTGGGTCGTGGATTCCGTCAAACCGAAGCAACCGATTGTCTTCGTAGCATGGATGTCATCATTGTTGGTGTTGGTGCTCTGCCAACCAGATTGCTCTGGCAGCACTGGATATCGTAGCATCAGTCATGAAAATACTTGTATCGCATGTTCTGAAAGCATGATCACCTTTCATCATCGTAGGGGCCACACGGGCTGCAGCAATCCGATGGTCTGGTAGCATGCACGGTCCCACGGTCCCTGGGTTGGGGCGGTATGCTTGGGCAGACGCATGGTGAACGGTGTCGTTTTGCTACCGAGAACTCTTCTGCGAGCTGAACCCAAAGTGAAGAATATAGTGATTCGGCAACATGCTAAACCCTAAACCCTAAACCCTAAACCCTAAACCGTCAGTGCGACAAGCCGCTCCCCAGACCGGGGCCATGCACACCCCAACAAAAGGCCAAAAAGGCCAAAACATGCAGAGAGGAGAAAAGATCTGATCCGGTTCAATTCGTGCTGTCCGCTACAAACCCTAGACCCCAAGCCTAGGTTTTTTGTTTTTGAAAGCCCTTTTCTACCAAGCCTGGGTTGAGGGTTTAGGGTTGATGATACCTAAACCCTAAACCCTAAACCGCGAACCTGAATTTAGGGTTTAGGGGCTGCAGAGTTTCGGGTTCAGAGCCTTGTAAGCGCCCGCCCTAAGCTGCTGCCAAGCATCTCGAGCTTTCCGCTGTTGTCCTTCAGCCAAGAGCTATGTCATTATTCTTGTCAGTCAGAATTAGTATCATTATTACTACGGTTATTAAGTTTATTGTGATTATGCAGATTGTTTTGGTGAGTAGTAAGAATATTATGACTATTGTTTTGATTCTTATGATTGCTATGATTATTAGTAGTATTAAGGTTACTGTGATTATGACTATTAGCCTTCGAA